TAATTAATTTATATAAAAAATAAAAATTAATTTTAAAAATTTTAATTATTTAATTAAAATATTTAATTGATATTAATATTAAAAATAATATTTTTATTCTTTATAAAAATTTATTATAAAATAATATCTTTAATATATTTTAACTTATATTTTTAAAATATAAATAAATTTAAAAATAAATCTAATAAAATGATTTAACAATTAAAAATTTAAATATTAAATGAAATGAAAAAATATTTAAAAATAAGAGATGATTATTGTCCCTCTTGTCAAATGTTCCCAAAAAAATAATTATTGAGTTGTAGGATTAGGATCATAATTACTTTCGTATATAAACCGAACAGGCGTCAAGATCTCCTTCGGAAGCCGACTTCGTTTCCGAAGCAGATCTCATCCTCGTTTCTTCCTCACTCCGTACCATCTCTTCCTCTACCTCTGCACTCCCGAATCCTGCTCCGCTCCCAACTTCTAGGTAAAATCTGCTCAAAATTTTCACTTTCGTGTTCAATTTCATTTCAAAAATTTTCAATAGCTGTGTGTTCTCTTTCCAAGATTTAGGATTCGATTTGCGATACTCGATTTACGGTATTCATCCTTTATTTTTCCGATCTGTTTATTCGCCTCTCAAAATCTGTGAATTTTTGGAGAATTTTGGGATTTTCCTGTTCGATTTATGATATTTGATGTTGTTCATGCTGTGAGATGTAATTTTGAGCAACAGATTTTCAGGATATTTACTTGATTGATTTGTTATGGAGCTGATGTTTTTGGGAAATAAATCAGTTTTTTACTCTGAAAATTGTTTGGTTCATGAAATCTTTAGGAATGAATGGAAATGTTAATGGAAAAGTTGGATTGTGTATCTCATCCTTTTATTGTCTGTCTCTGGACTTCGGCTCAAGCTTCAGAATGGAGTTGAATCTAAAGCTCTGTGCTTTGTATTTCTCTTTTGACTTTGACAAGGGTTGGTTTATTCTTGTTGGATTGATGATGTTTATTACTGTGGTTTTTAAGGGTGTTCCAATGGCAGAATCAAAACCAGCATTGAGGCCACCAGTTTTCACCAAGGTTGATCAGCTTCGCCCTGGCACTAGTGGACATACTCTTACTGTGAAGGTTGTTAGCACAAAGATGGTGTTGCAAAAGGGACGTGCTGTTGGTCCTCATGTGCGCCAAATGCGTATTGCTGAATGCTTGATTGGTGATGAAACTGGAATGATTATCTTTACAGCCAGAAATGAACAAGGTATAATCTCTTCAACTTTAATCTGCTTGCTATTTCCTTTTAATTTTTTTTATAGGGTTTTGTTTGTAATGCATCTCCTGGTGCTCCATTGGGTTGTTTGTGGGTTTAATTGATGTTTTTTCCCCAGCCAATAATTATTTTCATTTTTTGCCTTTTCTTTTCCATTATTGACAAACAATATATTGCTGATAGATAGTGTTGGTGACATGGTATTATATATCTTTACTGCCAGTCTTGTGTGAATTGCGTTTCGAAATGGCCATCAATTTTTGTTACTGTGGCTGAAAAGGTCATAAAGGTTGAGGGGCATTGCTCCTAATGGTAGAGAACTTCTTGGGTTTATTAATGGTGATTGGTGGCTTATTATGAAAAATGCTAATGGTTTTGGTGCCATACAAGTGTTAGGAGAAAAAATTTAAGATACCTTTGGCTGTTTAGACTATTCACTTAATTGCTTGAGTGAGCTTTAGACAATATTGCTGTTGTAACTTCATTTATCATAGGTTTTTCTATCTAGTTTGGATCTCATGTTTGACCCTTTTGAATAGTTATGGAGAAAGATGGTTAGCAGACTTCCCTTTTACCATGCTGTATTTGCCTATGGTGCAAAGTTGATGTTGATGTCCTTTAGAGGAGGAACAACCTTGGTTAGAAATTTTTCCTGTTTTTTTTTTTTGTTTGCCAGCAGCCATATTTACCTTCAGTCTTTATCATATTCTCATTTATTCATGTTGTGCTGAATTATTTTGCACCTTTGAGGTTATACCATACCATTTCCATTGATTATTTAATCTTTTTTCTAGCTGACATCTGGATTCTAGGTGCAAATATTATTTTCATTGTCAGGGGCTTCTCTGCCTCTGCCTCTGCCACGTGTGTTCCTTTGATCTTACATTGCATATATTTTAGAATGGTCTTCTTTACCACCTTGGCTTCAAAGTCATGTTTTTATAAAAGGTTAAAACATTTTAACATATTTATTGATATTTAAGCACATGGTAATGCACCTATACAGGAGTTTTGCTTTTGTAAGAATATATTTAGTTATGAATTGAAAGTTTATACACTGATTGAACTTGTAATGTATGGCTAACATGGCTGTCCTTTCTAACTTGGTGGTTATAGGAACATTGGTTTTACTATGTTCAATGTAATTAAGAATTACCAGAAAATCTAAGACATTCTAAGTGGGATTGGTTAATGTTTTAGAGCACTCAAACTGAAGATATGTAGTTTCTTTCAGCTAAGGTTGCATGCTGTATTTAATTTCCATGGATTCCAGAGGCTTTGTGACCATTGTTGATGTTAGATGCCATTCATTATCATTGTGCATTTTAAATTCTGTTTTCGTCCTGGCATCCCTGCTCTTACTGGATCCTCTTGACATGGTCAAAAAATTTTGATTGAATATTTCTTAATCTTGTGACTATTGCTGGATTTATATTATCAATACAGCAGAGGATGCTTTAATTATTTTTCTATTTGTTTGTTTTCTAGTTGACTTGATGAAAGAAGGTACCACTGTGATCCTTCGCAATGCTAAAATTGACATGTTCAAGGGATCAATGAGGCTTGCTGTTGATAAATGGGGTCGTGTTGATTCGTCACCTGAACCCGCTAGCTTCACTGTAAAGGAAGATAACAATCTCTCATTGATCGAGTATGAACTGGTGAATGTTGTTGAAGACTAGAGTGACTTCCCTGGAGGCTGTTTACTTCGCTTCTATGTTGTTAACCAAGAATAATTCAACCCCAGCAAAGAATTTTAATGTTGGCCATGCGACATCTCATATCCAAGATGCTTGTCCAAGTTCGCCTTTAGTAAGAAGAATTCTGGAGGCTAGTTTACTACTCAAGTTTCTTCTTACCTTGCAGACCCGGCAGGACCCTTTTGTTGGACCTCCAACAGATGGTTGTCTGTTTATTGTTGAGTTGAAACAGCTAGCTTGCGAGACTTGCTTATGTTTCTTTATTAGCATTTTGTTTATGGACGATAACTGTTCTCTGGCTATTAGGTCATACTGGAAGACTTTAATATTAAGTAACTTATGCTTTTATAGTTTTGTATAGTTTTCGTCTTTTCCGATTTTTCAGCCTGTTTAATCTTTGTAAGTGTTTCTTAAGTTATATCCAGGTGTTGTGTCCGGTACTCCGGTTCTCTGCTATTCCACATCTTCTTTGATATGACCCTGTTTATCTCAAGTTTCTCCTAGGTAAAACTACAAATTGTTTATAAAATTTTAATTTATGAAAAAGAAAATATCCATTATAGGGAAAAATAAAATTTTTATTTTATTAAAAAATATGTATGTTTTAGAGGAGTAAAAACTAAAATATAACAAATTTCATTAAATTAAAATTTATATTATATTACATATATTTAATGATTATAATTTGACAAATCATATCTTGCTTTTTTTTTTTTTTTCCATTTTTCTCTATTTTAAAACTCTAAATCTTTGCTAACCGAGTTTTCGGGGACTTAAGTGGTAAAAATATTAAAAAAATAAAATATTTATATTTATTTATTTTTAAAAAATATTAAAAAAATATTAAATATATAAACCGAATTATTTCTAATCCTTCCAATTTGGAAGGATGGAAATTAGAAGAGTGAGAGGATTTTATCACTCTCTGTTTTCCTCTTTTTCCGATTGTGAAGTAAAACAAATGGAATAAAGAAGATATTTACTCTTCACTCTCCCTTACTCCCTCTCCAAATCCACCAATCCAAACAGGGACTTAGGGCTGGTAACGGCAATGGCTTCCTCTTTTCCCACCGTTACAGTTCCACACGCCACCACTACAATCCCGTTTCCTTTTCTTGAAACCGCCCCATATCATTGCCTTTGTTCCAGTTTTTCACTTTTTTGTTTTTTTTCTGGAATATAAGTAATATACTATTTCCTTTAATTGTTCATATTGTTGGCAGAGATGTTGTCCTCTGCAAAAAAGATAAATGATGAATTCGAGAATTTTAGGTCCTTTGTTTCTTATTACAGACGAAGATAAAAAGTGGAAAGACCTGACCCTGCGTGGCTTCCATGCTAAGGACAAGCCATTTTTGTCGTTTTAAGCTTTGTACTGGGTGGGAGAAATCTCTCTGTTGCTGTCGCAGGCACGCAATCCTGCAAAAGCAGGTTCTTTATTATATTCCTTTTTTAGTAACTTAACTTCCAAGCAATTGGTAGGAAAAAAATTGGTGCCAAGCTTTTCCCTCAAACTTTCCTTTAATTATTGCAATCTTCAATTAATTAGTTAAAAATGTAATCTCAAAAGGTATAAAAAAAAAATTCCCAGGAACCAAACTTTATATCCTTTGAGGAATGTGAAAAGATACTTGAGGTGGAGTTGAGTAGTTATGCACATCCCACATCCCATGTCACTAGTGTGGATTAATTATTTTATATATTTTTTAATTTTAAAATTAAATACTATTATATACCAATCATATAAAATATCAACAGTCAAAAATGATAATACTTTTTACCTTTTATCATAAACATATAAGATGAAATAAATATAACTTGTAATAGTACTAATCCTGGTAAATAGTTGAAATAGTAAAGTAATATTTTTTTTATTATAAATTTTAATAAAATAAAAAAATTAATTATTAAATTATTATTTTTTTACTATAGATGAGAAACATCACATCACCTGATCACTCCCAGTCCCTCACTATTTGTAAACCCCCCGTGCAAGGAAACGGCACCGGCCGTCAAAGGAGCCAGATGGCACTCTGACACTTAGTCCAATTAATAGCTCATGCAATTAGCAATTACTTGTAAATTTATTTGTAAATTTGTGTAATACCAACTTATTTTTTAAAATAAAATTTTAAATTAAAATTTTATAAATAAAAAAAATAAGTATAGAGAAAAACCTTTTTATTATGAGATTTAATTTAATTTAATTTTAAAATTAATTAAAATTTAATATGATTACCATGAAAAGTTAATAAGAAAAAAACCCATGGACTTTTTATGTTTTCTTCACAAAAACGTGCCTTTTTTTGTTTTCTTTTTAATTTTTGACATATGAAAGTTACATTATTTTTTAATTAATTTAGATTTAAATTTTATCAAATCTCGCAATCAGGCCTTTGGCCTAATAATTTTTCTCCAAGTTTAGGTGCTTGATTTAAATAAGTCTCACTAATTCAACTCCCACCAATCACTTAAAATAATTTTAATTCTCTTTCTTTATAATTTTTTATGTTAAAAAATAATTTATCAAATTTATATAAAAAAATACTCTTTTAATATTTATTTTTTTATTTAAAAACCTCAATTAAAAATTTTATTTAAAAAAAATCAAACCCTTTTCAAACCCAAACCAAACAGATTGGTACAAAACGTGCTTTATTAATCTTCTCTATTAATGTAGTAATCCGTTTGCTTTGTCATAACAACCTTCAAAATTTAAAATTAACACCACAATAATTCTCTCAAACCTCCATTGGACCGTACATCACACGTGCTCCTAATCACACGTATTACCGTATTACTACAGAGAACCTAGAACCTTTTGGCGGCATCATTCCTCTCCCTATAACTGCCGTAGCTCCTCCCTCTCTTCTCATCTTTCCCACGTTCGCTTCTCTCCTTTCCTCTGCACTAAACTCTAACGTGCGGAGAATCGGAATCGTGTTCTTTACGCTTTCTCCATCATCTCTGAGCCGGAAGTTTGTACCGGCGGCTAAGCTATGGGAGCTAGCGGTAGATGGAACGATGGGATCGTCACGAGCTATTACTCTGCCTCGTCTCTGGCTCTGGACCGCCGGCTCTCCAAGTGCGTTCGCGACAATGTCCATGGCAACATCTACCTAGATAAGGTACTATTCAACTTTGCGTTTTTCGTTCATCATTTGCGACTCCGACTTTGGAATTCGTTGTTTCTTTTACTTTTCCGGCTCTCTTTTTGTATTAGGTACCAAGGACTAGTTACTTCGTTTGCTTGTTTTTTGGATTTTCGGAGTTTCTCATGTTTATATTATAGATTAGACTTGTATCCGTATAAATTTCGAATTTGGAATAGAACTTGTTAGTTTTGCTTTGGATTATGAAGAGTGCCATGAATAATGGAGATACGGAAGAATTTGAATGAGCAAACTGCTTTAAATAGTGTGCAGTTTGTATTCCTAACTGTAAACTTTTGATTTCAGAGTAGATATTTTCAGTTTTATTTTGGATTAAGAAGAATACCATGAATAACGAAGATACTTAAGAATTTCAACGAGCAAAGAAGAAGGTTTTGAAATCAGAGTATATTACTTAATAAAGTGAGAGGCTCAAATTTATTATGCAGAAAAGAATGAGTTAGAGACGTGAGATGGATATGAGAGATTTTGTACCAAAATGAAAAAAGGATAAGCAGATTGGGCAGATCTAGATCAAAGGACCTCATTTTAATTTTAAATTCTGTGTATAATATAGTATGGGAAAATTACTGAACTCTTGATTTTAGCTGTGTGTTCGTTCATAATCTTTTGTAGTTACTACATGCTACTCTAAAGAAATTTTTACTGAGATGATTGTTTTCATTACTCTACTTTTATAACTTGTTAAAACCTATAAAATAGAATTTGATTACTTTTATGTCGCTGCAGCTTTCTTTGAAGTTTGTTGACACCGAACAGTTTCAGAGGCGAGTTTGTATTTTCATGATGTCTCTTGAGGATTACTTTTTCCTTCTTTGTCAAACTATCCTCTAACGATTTTACTATTTGCAGACTTCGTGAACTAAAGCAACTTGGTAAGTTTTGAATTTTCCTTTACCAAGTTATTAATTTCTCTTTCAGATGGATTTGTTTTACTAAAATGTCTTCACCGTATAACTTCAATTCCTAAATTTAGTTCAGCTAATATTTGGCATCTTAGCACAGAGGCACACACATTGAGAAACACTTAATCCGTCTTTGATATTGATTATGATCATGTTTTAGACAATCTCTATTGAAGAACCTTGTCTCAGGCTTGAAGTATTAGTGCCCCATAGTGAGCATGGGTCATACAGTTAGGTCTTGATACCATAATAGTAGTTGCATATAACCTTTGTAGAGACATATAGCCTGCATGGATTTCCCACCCTTCAGAGAACTATTTAACTTTAATAGTCAGTTTCCTCCTGAATGTAATATGAAGCATCACAAAGTTCCTTACAGTAGCCTTTAACTGGTTCTGTTGTAATCTGTCCTTCCTTCCTCCCCTACTTCAGTTTCCTTCTTTTAGTCATTCTTGACTGTTCAAGTGAAAGATTGCTACTGCATGGATTATGTCATTACTGTTTCAGATACATTGTTTTACATTCTTCTATACAAGTTGTGCTTTCTTGATTAGTTTAGGGCTTAAAGTTGTTGCTGAACCAGTTTTTCTTTCTATTCAGGTCTGACACATTATGTTTATCCTGGAGCTGTGCACTCTCGCTTTGAGCACTCACTGGGGGTTTATTGGCTTGCTGGTCAAGCTATTCATACCATTAATGCTCATCAAGTAGGAAAATATCCCTGCAGAGTATTTTTCATTCGGAATCCATTAGATATTCATAATTTTCTCTTCCCACATCACTTTCTTGTAGGGCTTAGAGCTTGGCATTGATCGCTTTGATATCCAGACAGTGAAACTAGCAGGTAAGTAGTGTGCTATTACTGAATTAGACTTTCTCTTAAGCTTTCTTGTGCTGTTAAATTTTTTCAATTCATTATGTATCAAGGATTACTGCATGATGTTGGACATGGGCCATTCAGTCACTTGTTTGAGCGCGCGTTTCTTCCACGGGTCAATGTTAATTGGTGAGTGGAGTCTCTGGATTAAGTATATATGGTAACTGAAGATTTTAAATTACTTGTGTTTTGCCCTTTTGTTTCTCTATTATATAATTAGCAACAAAGAAGAGGACCTGGTCTAGGTCTCTAGGATAAAGTTCTCTGCCAGAAAATTGATACTTCTGACTCTGTTTGCCATTCTAGAAAATTCAGAAAAAGCTTTTCTTTTTACCATAATTACCTTTTCCTACCTATCTAACTACATATACCTTTTATATACCTTTTATCTAAGTAGCCTTTTAAAGACCTTTATTCTGACTTCCATATAAATTTAATTTTTTTTTTACATATACTCTTCTCAACATATCATTCTTCTATAGCAGCAGCTACAGTTCCCACATAATCTTCTCTTAGTTTTTTTAAACTAGCATTAGCTTTGTGATTAAAAATCAGCTTTCTTTTCTGTGACAATATATAATTCACAGAGGATTATGTGATAGCTATTTTCATTTTCACTAGAGGACTTTAGATTTCAGGTCTCATGAAGACATGTCTGCAAAGATGATAGACTACATTGTTGATGTGCACCACATTGAAATAGATGCTGAAGTCGTCAAGAAAGTGAAGGTTGAATTTTGTGTACCTTAAATTTTAATTCCATTTTTTCTAATAGCCAATTTCTGAGGAATTATTTCTGCAATATATGAAACTTTGAATGGAGGGAGTACATTTCTTCTTTTTTGTATTTGCTCATTCAAGAAAAACTTTTTATTTCTCTAGGTTTTGTTTTTCCCTCTTTTTTCCATGCTGAGATTGCCATTGTGCATGCTTCAACTGCTGTTTTTCCAATGGGAATCCTTGGGTTTGCAATATCTTGGCCGCTGAGTTCACGTTATTACAAGTCTTTGGAAGATTAACAAATAAAGGACTTGAGTTATTAATTTACCTTTTCTTTCTTGACAGGAATTGATTGTTTCTAGCTTGGAACATGCTTCCGAGAAAGTAAGCACCTGATTTCCATTATTTTAATTGGGAGTTTTCATTAGAAACATCAGAACACTTTGCACAATCACTCAGCAAAACGAAAAAGCATCAGCTCTGAGTGTTTATGAGTTTATCCCACATTTTAGTCTCTATCTATTTATTTCTCTTATAATTTTATTTTCTCCCCAACTGTAGAGTGTGAATGAAAAACGGTTCTTGTATGACATTGTTGCAAATGGTCGAAATGGAATAGACGTAGATAAGTAAGCACTTTTATTTTTACTTAAGTATTATTTCTCTTCATAGAGATGATATTGGAAATTGAGGGTTGGTGATGTGATGCTTTATTGTAGGTTTGATTACATTGTCCGTGATTCACGAGCTTGTGGTTTAGGATGTAATTTTGAGTTTCAGAGGTAGGTACACAAATTTCTTCTTTGGCACTTAAATACATGTCTGGAAATGAACTTCAGTTCAATCTTAACAGTTTTGTGCTTGTGCAAATGACCCGAGAATCGACCTTGGGTTCTTAGTTTATTGTACATGTATTGCAGGTTATGACGTGATGTTGTGGCAGAGCCATGATTATTTTTTTGACTTGTTGCAGGTTAATGGAAACAATGAGAGTTATAGATGATGAGATATGCTATCGGGCAAAGGATTGTAAGTATTTCTTAGAAAATTTTTCTGGAGTTTATTGTTATGGTACCAGTACTTGTCCTATTCTTAACTAATATTTGAATTTTTCTTCAGATCTGACAGTCCAAAAATTGTTTTCTACTCGTGCTGATTTACATCGAACAGTCTATATGCATGCAAAAGTAAAGGTGCCAAATTTCAACTACACTTATCTTTTATCTGCAACTGAATTGGTGCTGTTGCACAAAAATTCATTCCACTGCCTCCACTCCCATCTCCCCCCATATCACACAGACCAAAAGTCTTTTCTGCATTTTGAACGTGAATGATTGGATTCAATATTTCCAATTTCTTCTCAGGCAATAGAACTCATGGTTGTCGATGCCCTGACAAAAGCAAATGATAATCTGGGTTTAGCATCCTCGATTCAAGAGCCAGAAAAATATTGGAAGGTCTCTTGAATCCCAACTATCATTCATCATTATATTTTGCAGTTCGTTCCATCCTATTTTTATAAGACTAATAATATCCCTTCTAAAACTGCAGTTAGATGACTCCATACTGAAACGGATTGAAACTTCTGACAACCAAGAGCTCAAGGAAGCAAGAGATCTAATTCTACGAATACGGAGAAGAGATCTATACCAGGTGTCCTGATACTCTGTTAAAGACACGGGAATTTTTTCATTTGTTTAAAATTTAATCAGGATTTCTTTTCTCTTTGAGTGAAACTTGAATTAGCATGCCTCTTATATATATCAGTTATGCTTATGGCAAGATATTATATTGTGCAGTTCTGCAATGAGTTTTCTGTTCCAAAGGATGAGCTAGAGCACTTCAGAAACGTTACTCCCCAAGACATTGTTTGCTCTCAGGTTTTAAAAGAAAAAGATGTCACGTTCTGCTATTTTATCTATTCCCAGAGGGGACACAATATCTTAAATGCTAATCTTGTAAACAGGTAAATGGTGGCGTCACACTAGAAGAGGAAGATGTTGCTGTGAGTAATGTCAAAATTGATCTGACTCGAGGAAGGAAGGACCCTCTCGAAAGGTAATTGAGAAATACTGATGAAGAATTTGTTCTTACTTTTGCCATAGATTTTGCATTGACAATGTTCTTTTCTTCTCTGCATGTATTTTCACATCCAGCATCAATTTTTTCAAGGTACTAATGACCTCCCTCTCAGCAAAAAATTCTGCTCTTATATCAGCGTCAATTTTCACATCCAGCATCAATTTTTTCAATAGCTGAATTTCAAGGTTCTTTTATTTGCATAGCAGATAAATTAGTTAATACAATATAGCGTGCTCTGCTTGATTTTTATACTGATGACTAATTCTAGAAAACACCCTTTGCTCATATCCGCTGAACTGTTTCCTTTTTCCTAAATCAAACCTGCATAAGACTTTGCTCCAAATTCTAATGCAAAAGAATGCATTACCCGGTATAGGATTTTGACGGATTGTATTTCCGCAGGATTATGAGAGTAATGACAAGTTTTTAATTCAAAATGATCGTATCAGTCACTTGCTGCCTGGATTTTATCAAGATATGATTGTGAGGGTGTACTCTAAGAAGCCAGAACTGGTTAGTTGGAATACAATAATTATAAGAACCTTATATGTTTCAAATATTGAATCAAATTTGCATATATTTTTTATTTCAATGAATCTATATTATGATACAGGTCGATGCAGTTTCGAAGGCCTTTGAAAATTTTCAGGTGAAGAAGTATGGGAGGAAAGCACAGGTACATGAAACACCTGAGAAGAAGAAACACCGTAGGTAGTTGCTTTCCGGCGTCTTGTCCTGCTTGCTGGTTGCTATCAGTTGCAAATGTACATACAAGTGGCATAGAGAGCTAAGAAAAGAAATCAGCATGCATTTACCTATCTCTATATATAGTTGGCCACTGCAGCTAAATATTTTCAGACTAAACATGTACTGAGTAGTGACTAGTGACAGTTGAGTAGTGTTATATGATAATTGATACATAAATGGTTTATGGATACTTACATTCAGTAACATAGAAAGCAAAAGTAATTACAATACCAATTTTTTTTTTTTTTTTCCCTTTTATACATCATATGATGGGCTGAGCTTTCTTATTCATCTTTAGGTTTAAGCTTGAGGTCTCTAAATTGGAGTATTAAGTTCTTTAATCATCTATACTGAATTGATTGTGCCTACTGCTTACTACATACCATCTGTTTGTTGTAACTTGTAAGCTGTTGAGTGATCTGCACCGCTGGAAATCTGAATATATTAACTGATAACAATTGCAAGGGCTCAGAAAATCAGATCAGAAGAGAAGAAATTTGGGATTGTGCAGCGAACTTTTAACATTTAACGCAAGAATCCATATTGAAATTAAACTTAGATCATAAAAGAACGAAAAAACGAAAAACAAAAAACGGATCTTTAACACAATTCGGATGGGGATGGCAGTTTACAAGTTCTGATCACCTCTCTACTCTCTTCCTGTTCACCTGATCTAACGAGTCTAAAGGCTCTATAAATCTCAAAAGCCAGTTGATACACATTTGATGTGCAATCTTGTATCCGCTTTCTTTTGTGTCAATGGCATTTGTAAATATGTACAAAAGCAATGGCAAAATTTACGCAAAGGAGCAAGGTAATTGCATTGAACATATCAGCTATAGCGAGATGGTATCCAATCCACTGGTGAGACTTCAGCTTTGTCTGGCACCAGAGTCATGCTGGACCACCATTGTAAGCGTTAGAAGGTTCTGAAAGACGGGTATTCTGTTGCAGCAGATTGAAATTGTTCTATAAGTATGTTCCGGATTTTCCTTCTCAAGCCAGAGGCCTCTTCAGGTATAAACCAGCTCTTGCCAAACTGGAACAAAAATAAAGTACTATTGATCAAGAAAAACATCGTGGGAAATCAAACTATACGTGAAACTGAAAAGTTCTCTGAAAGATGAAATAGGAAAAATAACAGTTACCATTACTAAATCTCTCTTCCTCAATCTTTCTGGAGCCTCTTCAATGAAGCGCTTCATGAAGTAAAGCACAAATAGACCACAATCAGAGTCATTCTTCTGTTGGGGAACCTGGGAAGAGAGAATAGATGCAATGCAATATAAAGTCAAATTCTAGCCACATGCTCTGACAATTGCTATCAATGAAGAAACAGCACTGGAAACTCCAAAGATGATTTTTATTAGAAAAAGACATCAATTCCTCCATAAATTTTGGAACAATAGAAAGATAAACTTACTTGAATTTTCTTCTCATTGATTCTACTTGGAAGTTGGCTCCATACTTTGTCTCCAATTGGAAGATCTGAAGGAGCAACTTCTTGCTTCAAATAGTTCCATTCCTCCTCTAAAAAGCTACAACATAAAATTCACACCAGTCTGTGGGTTTAAGAATAAATTTAAGAGCACAATACAGTGAATAATCAATCAAACAAAATTTTTTTTTCTATGCCATTATCATTATTAGATTAAGCAACTGAAAATTATTTTATTATTTGACACAACCAATTAAAATGCAAGTAGGTTGCTTGAGATCCAACTGAGAAATGCATCCCATAAAGTGGGGAATCACTCTCTAAATCGTGATCCCAAAGTTCTCACTTAAAGGTTCCCTAACTGCTAAGATAAGAAAGGATTCTCATGCCTTACAGCTAAACAATGTTGAAAGTTCTCCCAGAAGTGAATAAGTTCACATGTAGCAGCGAGGGGGAAGGCAAAAGGAGGAAAGGTATTCTGAGTTGGAAATCACTACATGAAATCTCCTCCCCATGATGGAAGGGCTCATTTTCTGTATGTATACGTCAATGACATGACCATTGTTTAATTGATGGCAAGAGTGTTTTTCTTTCTTTTTTTTTTTTCCTTACCTTCTAATGTTGTAAAATACCAAGCTGCTAGAGTGGAGTCCCAGCGAATCCAAATGAAGCATAATAGGTCCTGATTCATCTTCTTTGTTGGGGATACAAATAATGACTAAGCTCCAATGGAGACTGTATAGGAACAGAATGACTAATCAAAATTCATATAAATTTAAGACAAAAAGGAAAGAACACTGAAAGTGAGGAAAAAGAAAATAGGGTGGAAGGCAAGCCACTTCATGTTGACCTATTTAAACAAATTGCTTGTACATTTATTAATCCTTATTATTCAGAAATGAGATTTAAACTGATTCATGCAAGCAATTACCTTGTATTCACTTCATTTTGTATTTCTTTACATAATCTTGAGCAGCAAGCAATAAAGAAATATACACTTAAGTCTTACTCATCTCAGTCAACAAAAAGCAGAATGGTCACACATCTAGCTGAGGAACTCTTAGCAATGGAGAAAAGAAATGATACTTGAAAAAAAGACCAAAGAAAGATCAATTGTTCCATTGCATGTTAAATAAAAATACAGAGACATGGTACAAAGTAGGCATGAGAGCTCACTCTTCATGAATCGGAATAAGTACATATGCCTTCTGGAAAATATTGACACCTCTCCACCACCGTCTAAACCTACCAAAATCAAATTTGTTGCTTCCCTACACATTTTGAAGACAAGTAAACCAGTAAGCATGAGTTGGAAGAAGACACAATCAAAATAATGGACATTTTTGACATCATCATACATCCCAAAGATAATAAACTTATATGATAAAAAAATTTTCATAGAGAAAAGCAAAGACATTTTCAAAGGAAATGCACTTCTTGGTTCCCCAATGTCAAAATTATAGAAAAGCTTCAATTACAAAATATATCTATAAAATGTTCTTTCTGATATAAATGAAGTACAAACAAACTATCAGTGTTGTCACTGCCATCAAATTGCTCCCTTCTGTAACCAACTTATATTACTTCATGGGAAACTAACCAATCATTCCAAAACAACTGAAATTATTTTACCAGGGTTCGACTACCCTAACTTAGATATATGGTTTACAGAGACAATAATGTATTCATCTTACACACAGAGAGAGAGGATTATCACCAGTAAGTGAATAAGAAAGATAACTACCTTGTCCGATACAGCCTCTGTCAACTTCTTGTAAAAAAATGTGTTAAAAAAATAGCAGTCACATATTTCCCTATTTGTTGGAGATGCTTGATGCTGTAAAAATCTTGCCAAATGAACCAAAAAATATTAAAGAATTTGACACCCTAGCTTTGAACAAAGCAGTCAGCAAACTCAAAACTAATTCAAGCAAATATCTATAATTGACTCAAGAATTTAGAAAAGTACTAGTGCTTTTTAATTTAGTAGATGTGAAGTTAGTCACTTTTGACTTGGACAATTTTTTATGGACATCCCAAGTTACAAAAGGACAAATTTTTGGGGACAAGGGAAGTTATCGTGAACTAGAATAAAGATATATGAGATATCAAAATATCTAACAAATTTTCCTTTAGCCATTTTAGTTTTAAAAGGGAAAGAAACTTGCGAAGCCTGAAGAATTCTTACTCATTGACTCAAAACCTAAACGGCCAAACAAAAAAGAAAAACACTCACCTGATGTAAAAATTAATAATTGTTGATGTCAGGTAGGCTTCAGGGGCGAGGTTGTCTATATCCCCAAAACAAATTTCAACAGGATCTGGATCATCTCTAGATAGCAAGAAGGATATGAATGACAAACTATATCCTGTTAATACTGCAGTCCAAAGAAGCAATCAACATATTCAAAAACTAACATTGGTGTACCTTGATGGATAATAGATCCTTGCATCTTTTGCACTGAAAGTGTGACAAATTAAAAGTTAGCATTAAGCACATAATGACAAACTAGAATACTGTAACGAGATGAACAAGTATTAAAGAGTTCCTATTTACATTTCAGGAAGTTTAGCTTCTTCCTGTGTTGTCTCTCCAAGCAGCAGCTCATCATCATCTACAACAACAAAGGTTTGCTTCTGCAAAATAGATTAACAGGACTAAGCCAAGATAAAAAAAAAAGTGAAAGCACAAGATTTCATCACAGAAGCTTAAAAATAGTACAAACTGCAAACTAGGAAACCTACATTTCCTCAGCAGTATACATTAAATAACAACTATAAGTCTATAACAATTAATGGGTGTGAACTCCCATCACTTTGTTGGTAAGATTTAAATTGAATCAATAATAAGGATAACATAAGGAGGCATAGGACAATGAGAATGATTTCTTGCTCAGAATGGTTTCATAAAATCTAACCACTGATAGTGTCAAAAAGTGAAAACAATCCCTCATTTGGTCTCAGAACCAGAGGATTTTCTCAAATTCAGTGTCTTAATCAGAAATATTCTAATCACTAATTATTTTGGCAAAAGAGCCTATGTTTTTATAGGCAACAAAAGTTGACAAGATAGATCACAAGTACAATGCACAACATCCATCTCAATGTTTAATCACGAAGCTTTCAATGAAAAACTGGATAACACTGATCTCACTTCTTTGTGTGGAACTATTTTTATACTTAGATACAAATATAAACAACTTACACATTTATAAATAGAGTGATGGAAATCCTGATGCTAAACCAAGAGATGTACAACTTTTTGAGAAGAAACTCAACCAAAAAATGGCTTTCATCACTAAATACTCAAAGAAATTAACTATCACTATAGATTCTAACTATGGAAGGAAAAGAATTTGAAATCAAACAAGCGTTTATCTTAGCCTATAACAAAATATATTAATGTTAATAGTACTACAAAAATAATATATCAGTTTTCCATGGTATTGGCTATATTCACTTTGATTTATACCAAAAGTAATCCTATATCATGACACTAGCCTTTTTGAGTTAATCAAGTGCCAAGAAATATATAAAATTGAAACATTCCAGGAAAAAAAAAGGAAAAGGAAAGTACAAAATAGGAGAGACTTAAATATACCGTCTTAGACCCTAAACCCTCTGTAGCTTGAAATGCTTGAAATGCTTTCTTCCTACATAAAGTGAAGCAGGAATATTCAAATACAAGCACAGCAAACCATTTATCATGGCTACACAAACCCAAGTCAACTGAAAAAAGTTGATGTGATTACCAAAATCATCTCTATATTTATGCAAAAGAATTCCGCACTGAAAAAAAGCTTTAGATCAAAAATGCTTAATGAAAATTGATCTCTAAGTAATGTGGCTATCAATAAAATTAGCATAAATAATAAATAGCAGAGATGTATAACAAACAAAGAAGAATGAGTTTAGTAAAACACAAATTTTATACTAGCAGTGACATGAACCTCCTTACAAATTCTGACAAACATGCAACAAGTGTATCTCATAGAAATGGATGAAAGGATAGGAAAGATAAAAAGAAGCTCATAAAAGAAATTTCTTACTTCTCATCATCAAATCTTGGCTGGTCATCAACAGTGTTGTGGAGAGAACAAAAGGAAGAAGCTCTGCCCTTTTGATCACTATGTGAGAAAGCATGTTGTTGGTATCCATTAAGAGAGTGCTTACGAGGGGGGTGCATGTTCCTTCGTTTTGATGATGACTGGCCTTTCTGTCCTTCACTCCAAAAAAATTCCATATTACCTCTCTTCTTCTGGTGCTCACGAGAATTCAAAGTTGGATTTTTATCAAATGATTTGATTATCCTGCAACCTTTCTGCTAAATAAATTAAAAACGTAAAAGCAATCATCTTCTGCATCCAAGATGGTTCTGATCATTGTAATGACTGTATATCCTACAAACTGCCAGTTAAATAAACTAAAAACATATAAAAGCAAGCGCAGTTGGCAGCAAAATATGCAATCTAAAACTGCAATATATGATATGTATAATCAGAAAAAAAAAAAAAGAAGTAAAATAAAGCAAAAGGAACTTTACATTTTCTTCCATCTTCTTAATAAAACAAGCACCCAGTGTGGATTGTGAAAAAGCTGGAGATGGTTTATATTCCTTTTTAGAGCCATCAGAAGAATCTGCAGGAAATACTTAAGTTTCTTAAAAAGATATAAAATACCTGAATTTCTGAGATACGATGCTAAAACCTGCTGACTAAATAAATCATCCTTCAAAGATCACACATTTGCACAAAATACAGTCAGAGCCCTTAACACTCATACAATAGGATTCTATCATCTTCAAGACAAAACTACCCAGAAAATGGGCCAACATATCACCTTATTTAAGCCCATTCAATTTTCCACCCCAGTCTCAACACTTTGCTCCAATAGGGGAGGTAACACTTGGCCTTGCAGTTTTCACCTCAGACAAAACCCTGAACCACAACACCTTTTGTCCTTTCTTGGTACAGAATGGAACACAAATATAGAGCTTCATCCCCCATCTAGCTCATGATCAATTCTTAGTTGCATTGCATTGAATTATATGACAAAAAATTGCAACATTTTGAACATCTTAGCAAACCCAAAATTAAAGACAAAAAATTTAAAATTAAGAGTAGATTCTTGGGAATTTAATGCACAAAAACTCAAAGTTCAAGAGCAGCTCATAAGATTTCAATTTTTCCTGAATCGTTTCAAAATCTCACCAGCAATGTTCGAATTCATGGACTTTAAAGGCTTCTTCCAACCATCAATATCCTGCGCAACAAAAAATGTTTCACTAAGAATCAATTATTCACTAAGTTAAATCATTGAGTGAATAAAATGCCAAGTCAAACCCATATTTCAATATCAAATGATATGAAATGAAAATCACCCACATTTTCATCATCAAACAAAAATGATGCTTATCTTATACAACTAAATCGTTATAAAAACAATGCAAACAATTTCACATAAGGTATGCATAAGAAGGGAAAAAATCTGTGGTATCATGGGATAAATATCTCAAACCAATAAAAACCTTAACACTTATATGAACTTATATCATGATAATACAGCTCGATTTCTCTTATAAGCACTTAAAACTTAATCCAAAAAACTAAAATAAGTAAATTAAAAGACTTTAATTCACTGTCCATAAAATCGAGAAAAAGAAGACAACTTCATCAAATATGAGGGAAAAAAATGAATTTTTTTTCACTTGCTTAATGAATTTGTAAATGAAAATCAAAACTTTCTACCTTAAAAATGCTAAATTTTCTCATTAAGAAAACCCAATGCACTTAATAACAAAAATAATGTAACCCCATTTCAAATACCACTTTCTGTCTCCTTCGCTCCTTCTCATCCTCAAGGCACTTGATGCGTGCTATAAGCTTCTCGCCTTTGTCCGACAATTTGGACCCTACAATTCGGATAGTGTGCATTGTCGACTGAATAGAGTCTTCGAGATTGTGATCGGAAAACGTGGAGAAATCCTCCTTAGGTTCCTCATCGCCGTTCATCGTCTCCGGCTGTTCCCGCCGTTGTCGTTTATCGCTCTTAATGATTTCAACTGGGAGTGGGTCCTCGTCCACACTGGAAACTAGCTCGCTAAGGTCCACCTGCAGTCCCCCCTCCATGCAAACTCATATGTAGACAGCAAAATTTCTTTGGCCTTTTCTGATTCTTTTTCAGCAGTCAAGACTGCTACTCCCTTTTCCACCCCTTCCCTTTCTGTGTCTTTTTCCTTTCCTTCCAAACAATCAGCCAAATTGAGCCAGTGGCGTTGGTTTACAGGGCTACCTGTTTCCTGTTACCACTAATCCAACGAATAAAAATATTTATATTATTAAATAAAAATAATTATTGGCCGTTCGATATATGGGTTATATTAATTTTTCTCATGTCCCCAAATTGGCAAAAGTTCCTTTTCCAGCTTGAGACATTTTACCCTCGTATTACAATATATATATATATATATATATATATAAGTTTTTACCCTTTATATTTTTTAATTTAAGAAAATGAGGTAAAATTTAACGCCTAAAAATAATGTGCTACATATGCATTATTATTTCTGTCATACATTTATGGCAAAATACCCAAATCCACCCCCAAAGTATGGTGGCAGGGACGGATCCACCATCAAACAAAAAATGGGGACAAATCCACCCACAAAGTTTTCGACTTGGACAAATCACCCCAAATTTAACGTGTGACATCATTTGACATCAACAATCCATTAATTCATTAACGGATTGCTAACGGATTGCTGACGTCAGATGACGTCAAATTAACAGATTGCTGATGTCAAATGACGTCATACGTTAAATTTGGGGTGATTTGTCCAAGTCGAAAACTTTGTGAGTGGATTTGTCCCCTTTTTTGTTCGAGGGTGGATCCATCCATACCACTATACTTTGGGGGTGGATTTGGGTATTCTGCCTACATTTATATGTCAGCGCCAACTTAAACCTTTTTGACATATAAGAAAGTTCAGCTTGGATTTTTCCAATAATTTTTTTTTTTTCATTCTTCCCTTTCCTCTTTCTCTTTTTTTTTCTTCAACTTTTTGTAAATCCAAATATCTCAACCGCCAACCGGGCATGTGGCCCAATTGGTTGGCCCCCTAGCTTTAGGGATTGGGTGAGGCGGAGGTCAGGGCTTCGAGCTCTGCCACCGCCGTGAACTCCACCAACTTGCGACCTAATGGTCGCGCGCCTCAAATGAGGGGGTGGAACGTTCATTTTCCTGGAAACTTTCCAGCTACTAACAAACTAACTCTACTAACTTCCTAACCATCTACCTGGTCAAAAAAAAATATATATATATATATATATATATCTCAACCAATCTCTACCCTTCTACCTTCTTCATCGTCATCAAACAATAAAATTCACAAAAAAAGAATTTTTTTAAAATTTTTTGCCACTAGTTCGAAGGAACCGAAGCGTGCTAAGTTTCATCCAATCACCGAAAAATCAAATTCAAGCAATCCCATTAAGAAACGCAAGCCCCTATCGAAAAAAAGTTGTCACTGACGCTAGCCACCCCTTAGCCACCATTGACAAAACAATTCCCAAATCCTCCCGAAACCAACCAAACCCCTTCCTCCTCAGCCATTTGACAAAGTAAGATAGCCATGTCGCCTCGCCATCCAAAGCAAAACAGATCGATAAGCTAAGATACACTACTCCTTTTCCTCGACCCCCACCACTTCCACCATCATATCGAAATCTTCCATGGCCAGAAACTCGGTCACCACCTCCATCATCCCTGTATGTTCCCCTTCTCACCACCAAGACTTGATGAATCTACAGGAAATCCCAAATTCTGAGCAAAACCAAAATCCTCATCACACAAAAAACCCACCCCCATCAAAGAGAGACAAAATCCTTGGCCTTTAACAAAAGAGATGAAAAAGTGTTTTCTAGATTTGCTTAAATTGAGATATCCGATTCTTGTGGATATCATGTATATTGTACATGATGTAAATAAAACTGCATTTTTATGTAGAATAAATCATGGAAATTGAACACGAAACAAGCATGGGGAGATCAAGAAGAAGCAATAATAATAATAATAATAATAATAATCAACCTAGGCCTTGGTTACTCCATTGCCATCGCCCTTGGTTGCCTCGTCCTCCTCCCCACCATCCTCCTTGCCTCTTACATCTATTGTCGCTTCTCCCCCCTTACTCCCCTTCCCACAACCCCATCACTGCTTCCACCTCCAATGGGATCATTCTTCGGAGGATTATTTTTGTTGTCAAAGATGACGATCAAGAACCCACGCCTAGGTTCATTGGAACCTAGGTGCTGAGTTCGATGGAACCCATGCTTGGGATCCAAAGAACCCACGCATTGGGTTCTTTCACACCCAACACGCCTAGGGACGTTGGAACCCATGCGTTGGTTCTTTCAAACTCAAGCATTGGGATTCCAAGGAATCCAAGTGCTGGGTTCCTTCAAATGCAATGGCAAAAAATTAAAAAAATTTCTTTTATTTTTGTTCTTTTATTTTTGTTCGTGGGTTTTGTTGTTTGATGATGATGAAGAAGCCAGAAAAGTAGAAATTGGTTGAGATGTTTGGATTTGCAGAAGTTGAAGAAAGAGAAAGGGAAAGAGGAAAGAGGAAAGGGAGAAAAAAAAAAAAAAAAAAAATTGTTGGAAAAGGTCCAAGTTGAACTTTTTGACATGTCAAAAAAATCTAAATTGACGTTGACACATAAATGTATGATGGAAGCTAACCATGCACGTGCAGTATGTGATCCTCGTCATTAAATTTTGTCTTATTTTTCTAAATTAAAAAATATGAAGGGTAAAAACTCATATATTATAATATGAGAGATAAAATGCCTTAAATTCGAAAAATTGAAGGACAAATGGGAGGCTTTGGCCACCCCAAATTGGGTTAAACTTTTTCCTTTTCTTCCAATTGGACAATGGGCTGGTGGTTACAAAAGTTTTTTTTTTTTTTTAATCTCAAAATTTCAATCATTTTAAGAGTAATAATTTTCATAATAAAATTTTAAAATAAATTATTATATAAAAATTAATAATTTTATTTATTAAAATAATAAAAAATAAAATAAAAGTACATCATATATTATCCCACTTTCAAATCTCACTTAAATCTATTTAGGATTATTATTACAATGTTTTTAAAATGCAAAAATAGTAACCCAAATTAGCTTGAAAAAACCTCAGATTACCATGAAATTGCTATGCAAAAGAAAATTACTAAAAATTTAAAGAAACACCGCTTCATTATAAAAGTGATGCTCCCACTCCTCCTAAAATAATATTATTTCCTATGTTTCTCTTTCACTTCTAATAACAAGTCACTATAAATTCCAAATCTCATTCAAACACAACATTTTCCTTTGCTTTTTTGACAATATGGCTCCTTTGATACAACGGTTTTGGAGTAACGGTTAGCGGTTTTGGAGTAACGGTTAGCGGTTTTACCTAAACTGCTAAATATAAGTATTTGGTAAATTTATATATTTTGAAATCATTATAACTAAAGTGTTTGGTAAAATTTTTATTTAGCGGTTTGAAACTAACGGATAGCGGTTAAGGTCTAAATCGCTAGCGGATTGAAAAAGTTAGTTTATATAACTTTTTGTACCAAACTGCTAACAGATTAAAATTTTTTAATTTTATTGACAAATTTATCCATTTTAATTTTTTAGTTTGTAGTCACATTTTTTAATTAATAATTATCTAATAAATTTCAATTTTATTTTTTTACCTTTAATAATATTACGTGA